ATTTTTGTCAAAAATCTAATTATTAAATCCAACAAAGTTCTTCTGTTATTCATCCTCACTTCTAGAGGTAAAGATGGCCAAACTCCCATCTCACATATTTGAGCATTCTGAATGTCAAAGGTTCATCATTCAGTTTTAGTTTACTTCTTGTTTTGTGCTGAAGTAATCATTGTACTAAGAAGAGAAGATTGTTGTTGTAGTTGTTAAATGCCATCGAGTCGCTTGCAACTCATAGAGACCCTATGTACAAAAGCTCTAATCGCTCTTGTATCCTGTGCCAACCTCGCTGTCTCCGACACTCATTCCCACCACCCCAATCAGAGAATCGATCCATCTCATCGAGGGTCCTCCTTGCCTACACCATCCCTCCACTCTCCCAAACATGTTGTCCCTCACCAATGACCAGTCAGTCCCTGCTTGCAACATGCCCAAAGTATGTCAGACGAAGCTTCAGAATCCTTGACTCCAAGGAGCATTCAAGCTTCATCTTCTCCAGGACAAAACTGTTCACCTAGCAGTCCATGGTATATTCAACAATCTTCTCCAGCACAACTCAAAGGCATCAATTCTCTTTCTATCAATCCTATTCACTGTCCAACTCTCTTCACGTAATTGTGAAGACTACATAGCCCAGATCAGGCACACCTTAGTCTCCAGTCTGATATCGCTGTTCTTCAGTACTCTTGAGACGTCCCTCATAGCCAACTTTCCCAGTGCAATTAGTCTCTTGATTTCCTGGCTGCTGTTACCAAGAGTGTTGTCTGTGGAGCCAAGTAAACTAAAACTGTTAACTATCTCAATCTCTTCACCACTCATACGGATGCTGCCAATTGGCCCAGTGGTGAGAATCTTTGTTTTCTTGATGTTGAGCTTCAATCCATATTGAAGGCTGCAGTCCTTGACCTTCTGCAGCAAGTGCTTCAGGTTCTCCTCAGTTTCAGCAAGCAGGGTTGTGTCATCTGCATAACGCAGGTTGTTGATGCCTCTTCCACCAATCCTGATGCCACATTCCTCCTCATACAGCCCAGCGTTTCAGATGATCTGTTCTGCATACAGTCTGAAAAGGTATGGAGACAGAATATATCCCTGACGGACCCCCTTCTTGACTTTGAACCATGTAGTGTCTCCTTGCTCTGTTCTGATGACTTCCTCTTGGTCCAAATGTACGTTTCACACAAGCACAATCAAATGTTCTGGGATTCCCAATCTTCTCAGAGTCAGCCACAGCTTGCTGTGATCCACACAGTCAAAAGCCTTTGCATATTCAATGAAGCACAGATGGACATTCCCATGGTACTCTTTCTGCCAAGATCCATCTAATATTAGCTATAATATCTCTAGTACCATGACCTCTTCTAAATTCAGCCTGCACATCTGGCAGTTCTTTGTTGACATATTGCTCCAATTGTTTTTGGATAATTTGCAGCAGAATCTTACTTGCATGTGATATTAATGATATTGTTTGATAATTTCTGCACTCTGTTGGGTCACCTTTCTTTGGAATGGGAAAAATATTGATCTTTCCAAGTCAGTTGGCCAACTGGATGTTCTCAATATTTCTTGGCACAACTTACTGAGCACATCCAGGGCAGCGTCAGTTTGTTGAAATTTTAATTGGTATGCTGTCAACTCTTGGAGCCTTGTTTTTTGCAATTCCTTCAGAGCCACTTGAACTAGAATGGGATTAAAGCCCCCCGCCCAACCCCACCTCAGGTTTCACAGGCTCATGAAGCCTCAGCACTAGGCTTTTTTCTGTTGTGGAATGCCTACCTGGGACAAAGTCTCCAGCCTTCATCACCCAGTGTCTCAACTGACGGGCTACAGGATCCTAGTCCATTGCTCACCAAGTCTCTGCACCACCAGCCTTCATCACCCACAGTCATCATCCAGCAGTGCCACAGTTGACAGTCCACAGGATCCTGACCCATCACTCACCAGTTTCTGCAAACCAGCCTGCACAGTCATACGCATCATTCCCCTGATGTGTCTGAGTCTTAGGGAGACATTCTAGTGAACCACCAAACCCACATCAATGAACGAGGGAATAGAACAAAGGAGGAGCTGCTGATGTAGGCAATCATGGACATATACAGCAGGTCAAGCATTTGGGACAATATTGACTCTTCTTCTAACCAATCAGCTAGTAATATTGTTGTGTACCATAGAGTTGGAACCGACCCACAGCTGGCTCTCTGGTGGATTTTCAGAGGCAGTTAATTGCATGGGAGGAGATTGCCCATCTTTCTCCTGTGGAGCAACTGGTGGCCTCAAACTGCGTGCCTTTGGGATTGCAGTGCAGCTTCTTGCCACTAGGCCCACCAGAGCTCCATGCTAGTAACATCAGAACAAATTATAAAAATAAGCATGTTGTTGGGAGGAGCCAGTCCTTGGAAAAGTGGAAGGTTGGAGAAAGGGAGGAAGACCTTCAACCAGATGGAATGACACATTGATTAGCTCCAGGGTATTAGAGATGGTGAGGGCGGTGCAGAATAGACCAAGGTTCAAGACCACTATGAGTCTTTGCAGGTAACACCGATCATCATTAAATCCACGAGGTTGCTTTCTTTTGAAAGTAGACGTGACATGACTTAGCTCAAGGGCTATTTTTAGGAGCAAGTAAAATGTAAATCCACGTCAGGCCCATTGCCGCGACACATCCTGAGAAAGGTTTCTCTCTTTCCCAAGTTTGATCATCTCAGACCTAACAGGACTGAACATCACTTTAATTGATAAACTTTCATTTAGTGTAGACAAATTTATTTCTACAGTAGCATTTATTTCAGTTATAAAAAAATAGCACTATTTCAAAGTCAGGATAACTATGCAGAAGTGTATACTTTTTGTCTATTTATTTCCAAATATCACATAATGATTTCAAGCCATTCTTAAATTAAAAAGGAACACATGTAGAAGGCAGCTACCTACCCACTCAAGAAATGTATTAAAGCTATGTGACAGGCCTAGAAATCTGAAAACACAAAGTGATCTAGTGCAAGAATTCTCAAACTTTAGTGTACATCAAACTCTTTTTAATGGTTAAAAACATAAAAAAATAAACTGCTGGGCCCTGTCTCAAATTTGATCTATAGGTTTAGGGTAGGACCTAAGGATTTTTCTGATGCTATTGCTCTGAAAACCACATTCTGAGGACCACCGATCTAGTGAACCAGAACTCTAGTAGTGATCGACTCTGTACTGAGTTGTTGCTAACCCATTTTCTTGTGACTGGAATCCTTCTGTGACTCTGAGATGAATATCTCTTCCCATGTGATTTACAGCCTTGGTCGGCTATGAAATGGTTCCTACTCCATGGCAATGAGCGACTGAGTGAGCTAGAGAATGGAAGCCTTGGTGATGGGCAGGCGAAGAAACTGGTTTGTTCTCAGGAGAAAGCTGAGGAAGCCTGATCCCCTTTACAAGCTATGAAACCCCGTGAGTCAATTTACCGTCTTAAAAGATTGTGAGTTCATGGAGTTTGAGCATAGTCTAGTAATTCTATTCCTCTCGTCATTCTTTTGAAATTAATTTTGTGGTCACAAAAGTTATAGAAATGAACGAAAGACTTCACTCTTGGATTTAGGATGAGAATGTGTTAGCTCTAGGGTCGCTTATCCATTGTCTCTAGACCACTAAATCATGATTGTGGGAAAAGCACCTTCAGGGGACTGACTGTAAACCACCAGGCCAAGCCAGCCCCTGGGTTCTCAGTCAAACAGAGACTGAGTACACAAACTTTGCTCCTTAGAAAAGGGCAAACCCAAAATGAAATACACTATGAGGCCACTTCTCTGGGCCTAACATTAAATAGCAATAGATTCTAGTCTCAAGAACTATTCTACAGATTGCATCAAACAGCGTGTGATGCGTGCTATTGCCCATTCAAAACACACTATAATCATTATTTCATCATTACTGTTTGATGCAGAGGACATCCTCCGTGCGCACACACAGCCCCCTAACTCCCACCCCACACTAAGACAACTCTTATTATTAATTTTAAAAATCAAATACTCATTCATTGGGTTCAAGCTCATGGACTATAGGTATCATTTTTATACTGGTACAATTTTTTACCAGCTTCAACTACGCACTTAATACAAGGTTGAAATGGCAATTTCATTTTTAATATGAAATAAAGACAGCGGACTCAAAGAAAGCATCATTTAAAATTATGCTTATAAACCACCAATAGCTAGATGAATAGGCTACTTTTCAAAGTGACTCATGGCAGAGCAATCTCCGATGTTCCCAGTTTTTTTTCCTAAATCTCAGAGGTCTATTTGTAGCTGGAAATCAGAGTATAAAATATCTATAATTGTCATCACTTCTTATATTCAATATTCTCTATCATAATATCTTATAATTAAAGTGTTTTGGCGATTTAAATACCTAACCACATAAATCTGTTAGGTTTTAAATACTCTGAGGCTATAAACCAAAGTTCTAGAGATGCACCACCAGGCTAGGTAACGGTTTCCCAACCTCCCAACCCTGCAGTCTGGCTGCAGTCTTTGCTGGGGGAAGGGGGGTTAACCTGTGCTTTTACAAGAAGTCCAGCATCCCCTGGCCCCGACTCCATGGATGGTGGCAACAGCAACCCTGCTTCCGTGTGTCACACTGCCTCTAGACATTCCAAATTTTTCCTCGAGCACAAAAATCAACCCTGGTTGAGAACCACTGGACTACAATTAATTTTATACAGACGTGAGTGCAAACTCTTGAGTGCACGGATTATACAAGACTATGTAATGTTACTAAGTGAAAGTACAGGACAATAGTTTCTATTTGGTTTATGCAGCGGACATAGAAGCTTTTACATATACTACCTAGGCATACATTATTCACATACAAACATTATTTTCCCTACTGAAAACACTGACATTATTTAGGGGGGGGAAAAAAAACAAACAAAAAAAAACCATAATCTTGCAATCACCTTGACTGCCAGATGAGAGGAAAACCTATGAACTGCGAACACTGACTAACCGAACCCTGTAAAGTCACTGCAGGTGCCCCTCCTTTTGGATTCGAAGTCTCTCTTTCTCGACTTGCAAGCGTTCCTTCTCAATCTGCAGTTTCTCCGATTCAAACTTCAAAAACTGCAGCCTATCCTTTTCTAGTTGCAAGCGTTCTCTTTCGAGTTTCAGCTTCTCAGTTTCTATGTCCTGCGGCTGGAGGATGGCTTTCTCCCCGGGGCCGAGGTCGCCGTCCAGGGAGGGCTTCTCGGAGCTCACGATCTGCAGGCGCAGTTTCTCCCGCTCGATCTGCAGTCGCTCCTTCTCCAGCTGGAGCCGCTCGTGCTCCAGGTCCAGGTGCCGCAGCCGCTCCTTCTCGATCTGCAGCCGCTCCTTCTCCACCTGCAGCCTTTCCGCCTCGATGTCCAGCCGTCGCTTCTCCAGCTCCAGCTTCTGCTTCTCTATGTTGACGAGCAAATGGGACTCGTCGTACGAGCGAGACGGCGTGGAGTTCAGGGTGAAAAACTCGTCGATGTGGGGGAAATCCGGAAGCTCATTTTCCCTCCTGGAATCTGGAATGACTGAGGACAGCATTTCTTCTTCCTCCTCAATCTCAAACTGAAATAAAAGAGGGAAAATCATCTTCAGTATTTTTATTTCATGGTTAGCATTTCCTAAGGCTTCTGAAAAGCTCGGGTAGATTGAGTACACACTGGAATTTTAGAAAATAATTTTCTCTTGTGTCAGTAGTACAATAAAATAATTAGATTTAACTAAGACTAAAAGGCCCGATGGTAGTAAAAAAAAAAAAAGTAGAATAACTTAATTCTGTACTACCTTTAAGCCAACATGAGAATTGGGGAACTTTTCTCTAAGTGTTGAATTTGTGCTACCATTATCAGAATGGAAGAATAAAAGAAGGTCCTGAGTTTAACACTTTTTAAAGGGAAAAGACACTGTAGGAGGGAGCTCTGGTGGCCTACTGACAAGAAGCTGTGCTGCAATTCCAAAGGCATGTGGTTCAAATCCACCAGTCGAAAGATGGGCAACCTCCTCTCATGTGATTTACGGCCTCTGAAAACTTGCCAGAGTCAGCTATCAATGGGTTCTGACTCAATGGTACAAAACAACTAAGTGGATCATAGCAGACTCAGGACATTTAAGAAAAGGCACTGACAGTACAAAAAGGGCCTGATGAGACACTGTAATGACATAGCAATTATAGTTAATTTATAAAACAAAATAGATATGAATGACTGAATGAAAACTAATGACCTGCAAACTTTCAAATGAAAATCACATCCTCCCCCCCAACACACACACACAGAGTACTGACTTCAGGACTTTGTGGATCTCTCTCTTCCTCTTCCACTTTGACCTCGGTTAAGGATCCACCTGCATCCCTGAAATCAGCCACATTTTGCCAATCAAAGTTGGAATCATTTCGGAATCCAATCTTTTCATCTATCTCTTCAGTGAGCGAGTCATCTAAATCCGATGTGGGGAGAGGAAAGCCAGAGCCAACGAGCTTGATGTTGGCCTTCATTCTCTTCCTCTTCATGAGGGCTCGCCAGTCAAGGTACCGCCTTTTCACCTCCGTCCCTGTCCGCTGTTCTCCTTCGCCTACGGCATTCACACACTGGGCAATCTCCTCCCACGCCATCCGTTTCATCACATTAATTGTTGTATTGAGCTGTTTGGAAAAAATCACTTCTTTTCTCTTAGTAATTTCTTTCAAGAGGGTCTGAGTTTCTTGAACACTGAAATTGCTTTTCCTTTTTCTTTTCAACTGCTTCATTCTTCCAACTTAACCACAGTTATGGAGATAAGAAAAGATGTGAAAGGAATGTGATGAAGGCAAAAAAGTACAAAAATCACAGATAATCCCTTGTTGGCACTTCGTTTAAAATCACTGTCATATCTTCCTTGAATAGCACAGACTGGATAATCCTAAAAAGAAAGGAGAAGGGGAAAAAAAGAGTATATCAATCCACTTGTAACTTCTATTACATCTTTTACCTCAATAAGCAATATACAAAATTTCAAAAAGACACCAAACGAACCCAGAACACTGTCTCTCAATGTGATCTGTCCACTCCTTCATCTCTATGGCACCCATACAGTATAAGCTTTCACCTTCTCTCACCTGGATGGTTGCTGGAATGCTTCCCAAGAGCCAGGATTCACAATGACCAACTGCACTGCTACTTTGGCTTGGTCAAATCTGCTGCTTTCCCTTTCTCCCCAAACTTAGCCCTTTTCATTAGCTCATTATCATTCCTGTGAAAAATCCCATACTGACTCTCAGCTAATTCATACTCACAGCAGTCTTGTAACATGCAGTAGAATGGGCCCATAAAGTTTCTGTAGCTGGAAACTGCTACAGAAGCAAAGTCTCACCTTCCTCCCCTGGACAGACTGGCGAGTTTGAAACACTGGCATTATGGTTAGTGGTCCAATGGTTAACACATGGTGCCACATGGGTTCTTTAAATACAGAGAGAACTACTCAAATGTCCCAGAAGATTGTCCAGTCCCTCCCCACTTCTCCAGTTCTTTCCTAACTATCCAATTTACCCTCTTTATTCCAACTAATCAATCTTCTTTCAGTTACCCGTCATTGGTCAGTTCTTTCCCTATTCAGGCCTTCGACGTGGACTACTTAGTGGCTCCTCATCCTCATCTGCAGTTTAAGCACCTCTGCCTTCGTGAAGCCTTTCCATGTAAGACAGTGGACTCCACTGGCGGGACTATAGTACTTTTTCTAGTCTTGATATTCTATCAGTGCTAAGTGATGGTTACAAATTTGGCTCTTTCCAACTTCACTGTAAATTTTCCAAGGGCAGGAAAGGTGATCAACCCTAAGAGTTTCTGACACATAGTAGGCACTCTATGACTATTTCGTGAAGAATATGACTGAATCAATTTGACTAAAAAGATTACTGATTTGATATGCAAGAAAAATAAAAAGAAATAAACTCAGAATTCTGTAGAAAAGATTTAAGGAGCCCAGAAAAAGTTGGACTGGATTAGAAAATGTGAAAATAAATTTGAGACAAGGGAGCTCTAGTGGCCTAGTGGTAAGAAGCTGCGCTATAATCCCAAAGAGCCGTGGTTTGAATCCATCAGCTGCTCTGTGGGAGCAGGATGGGCAATTCTGAACACCCACTGAAGGGTCAGCCATGGGTTGGTTCCAACTCAACATCACAACAGTATGATCAAAGAAATAACTGCCTAAGTTTCACTACATCACAAATTAAAACCCACTCTTAGGTTAAAAGAGAAATCTTAAGTTTTAAATGAAATTTCATGAAATAGTAAAAATACTGTAAAAATAAAACAAATAAAGGGAGCTCTGGTGGCCTAGTGGCAAGAAGTTGTACTGTAATCCCAGATGTGCCTGGTTCAAATCGACCAGATGCTCTGCTGGAGAAGGAGGGACAATCTCCTCCTGTACCTGTCAGATCTGATTTGACAGTACAATGTATAAAAAATAATTTAAAAAAATAAATAAAACAAATAATGTAACATTGGTTAAGAATTTTCTCCATAATTATCTTACTATTAAAGAAAAAGACATTAATTATTTTTTAAAAGAAGGGTAGGGAGATACCTCATCTTCTGAAAACTAGTACACACTTCACGGTGTGTGCCTAATGATAAAAGTCCCAAACAAGACTGGATGGATTGTTTGTTTCTAGCAGCTTCTTTTGTCTATCTTTGAAGAATTTGTCAGCAATGCTTGGTAAAGCTCTGGGTCATTTTAACTGTATGCTTGAGATCATACACATACAAGTAATTATAAACAGACATCCCTGAAATTGAGTTTAAAAATTCTCATGCGGCAAAATTTTAGTATCAATTTCTCTGTTGGGGAGATCCTCTTGTAACAATTTATTTTGGATGTGTCACAATATTTTGTTCCATTTCCAGAAGACTCTCATGTTGTCAGATCATCAGAGGAAATATTACTGAAACTTACTTAAAAGGCAAACTTTTCAGGTCCTATTCTAGAACAAAAAAAAAAAAACCCCAGGAACTCTAAGCAGGCCTCAGATGATATAGTCAATAAACTCTCCAGGTAAGTCCGTTGTTGTTGTTGTGTACTGTTGGGTCAGAATAGACTCAGCAGTCCTCCAGTGGATTTTCAGAGGCAGTAAATCATATAGGAGGAGACTGCTCATCTTTCCCCCATGAAGTATCATATGGATTTGAACCATGTTCCTTTAGGTTGGAAGTTTCAACTTTTTACCACTAAGTCACCAGACTTCCCTACAGGTAAGTTTGTTTGTTATTTACTGTCAAGTTGGAACCAACCCACAGCTGACCCTCCAGTGGGTTTTCATGTCCAGTGATTGCTAAAATTTGGGAACCACTGTGCTAGATCCACACCAATAAATGAGTCACACCTTGAATTCATTATTACACAGTTCATCTGATTGATGGGATCCAAAGCATATCTTAGCAGAAAGAAGCTGGAGAATGAGGATGCATGAACAAGTACTGAGGAAGTTAAGGAGTCTCTTTCCTCCTAGAAACAGAAAAAGAAAGCATCCACTGAACTGTCCCCATGACCAGTAGCAAACGTGTCTTTATAAATGTAGGTCAACTGAACACAAAAGTGGGAAAGAAGTTAAAGTTAAAACTAAGAAATGGAAAACAAGGGATCACAAAAAGTAAGAGATATATACACATTAACCATATTTCCTAACTATAAATTAATCTCCTGATCACAGCTACAGGGCTGACTTCATGCGACAAAACAGGAGTGTAGATGAGACAGCTAAGGTCCAGTGCAATCCTATCAGTGTATCACCATGCATACATCTTACCAGCACCAAGGCCACTAAATATCCACCAAGTTCCCAGTCTTGCCTTTAAATCCTACCAGAGAACTGAATGGGAGGTACTAGCAATGTCATTTATAAAATAAGGTCCAAAGCAGTCAGTTTCTACAATGTTCCACAGCAAGTTAAATGACTAGACTTAAATACAGGCTCTAAACACCATTTGCTCCCTTCCACTTTACTCTAAATTGTGGAAACTAAATACAAGATTTCTATAACCAAACCTTAGAAGTGTTCTGCTACTTTTGGAGATTTTTTTTTAAGGGAAATATTTTCAAAAGGACATCTTATCTATGTTGAAAGTTTAGATTAAGTTCTGTATACAGAAACAAATTACTTCTTAAAGCTTCCTTCAGTTCTGTTTACATTTTACTAGTTTCTTCTCAAGTATTTAGGGAGCTTTATTAGCTTAGAGGTAAGGAATTGTGTTGCCAACCCAAAAATACTCAGATCAAAGCTACTGGTTGATTTGGGGGGGGGGGGGGGGCGGAACGGCAATGTCCTCCTGTGAGACTGACAGTCTTTGAAAACTCACTGGAGGGTTTAGCTATCATGAGATGCTTCCAATTAGAGGTCACGTAGGAGTAACTGGTGACCTAGTGGGTAGGGAGCTGGACTGTCAACTCAAAGAATGATTCAAATCTACCAGCTGCTCTGCTGGAGAAAGATGGGCAATCTCCTCCCGTGTGACTTAACAGACTCAGAAAACCTGCTAAAGGGGCATCTATCAGTTTCTAACTGGCAGAAATGAGCTAAATTTCTCAAATACTAATGTCTGGCAATTTAAAATTGTGTTAGTGTGAAAAATGTTTCCCTGATTATTTACCATATAAACCTATCTTGCATTGAAGCAAAACTTGAGCCATTAATCAGGGAAAGCATTAATCTTGTCTAGCAGGGTTTGAGTCTTCTTAGGATTAAAAATGGATATTAATTCCCTACTCTGAAGCATAACTAGCAAAATATCTTTTATTTTCTAAACACTTTTTTCTTTTCAATTTCTCATCAATATTTATTCCACTGATGGTCTTATGTATCCAACAGCAATCCCAAAAATGTGATCATTGCCAAATCCTTTTGTTTCTAATCACTTGTGTGGAATGGTCATCTCTTGAACTGTCAAATTCTGTGGAAATGGAGGTCAGAGAAATAAAAATAGAAAGGAGCAGAAAGTGCAATCTCAAAAAAGCATTCTCAATTTCACATACACACAAAAAAGTACAAAGCATACAAAAACAAAGGAAAGACCTTTAAAAGTTTTCCAAGTGACACTTAACAATAAAATAAAAATTCACTAAAGCAGAGCATATAATGCTCTACAGCATTTTCAATCTGGTACTAGGTATAGACTAACTGCACTTATGTTTTAATGTCATTCTCTAGCATTACAATATACACAAAAATATTGATAAATTCATCCATCATCAAGCACAGAATAGTGTGATGATCATGGATTGTGAAGTCAGAATGCTGAAGCTCTGTCACTTCCTAGTTTTATACTGTTATTATATAGTACTTGGTACACATTAACATTTTCATTTGTAAAATAAAGGTAATGTTACATTATAAAGATGCTATAAAGATTTGAAATTATCAATTACACAAATGGAGTCCCTGGATGGTTAACTTAATGTTAAGTGCTTGGTTACTAACCAAAATGACTGGTGGTCTGAATCTAAGCAGAGGCACCAGGGAAAAAGGAGGCTAATGATCTACTTCTGAAAGATCCCATCAACCGAAAACACTATAGGATGCGGTTTTACCCATGAGACTATTAACCAATGAGATTATTAAGAGTCAGAATCAATGAAACAGCAACAGGTATGGTTATTTTCTGAAGATGTGGAGGACAATGGACTAAAGAGCAACCAAAATGATTATTTATGAGGGAAGGAGAAACACAAGAGAGGGGCTTAGGAAGCCAGACTCCATTCAGTGTACTTTGCATTATAACTTAACTTTGGGACTATATCAAATGCTTTAACAAAAATCTGAAAAAGTCAATCTAAAGGGGAGAAGAGCAATCCCTAAAATTTAACAATAG